AGAGAAAAGCAAGCAAAGATAGAACTAGAAGAGATTGAGAGAAAAAGAGGTGAACTAAGAGAAGAACAAGTGAAGATTCAAATAAACCAGACTAAAAACAAAGGAAAAGAAAAGATGGTATATGAAGAAGACAAAATAAAAAGAAAAGTATAAGCAAAAAATACCACTATAGAAGCAGAAAAGGAAGAAAATGATATAAGATATCAAAGAAATGAAGAGAATAGAGAGAGAAGTATTCTAAAGGAAAAAAGAAAGTGATACTATGATGAGGAGAGTAAAAGCCCAGAAGGCTCAAAGAAAAGAGATTTGAACCAAGAAGAATCTAAAGTGAGTACAAGCAGAGAAAAAAAGGTAATAACAATATGAGATATTCTATTACATATTTCAAGAACTCAAGTATTCAGAGCAGTAATGCACATGGGAAGAGTTGCAAATATCAAGATGATTCAAGAAGGCCGTATAAAAATGAGAGCAGAAATCATATTTGAAGAATTGAAAATAAACAACTAAGAAAAAAAAGTTAGGGCTATACCATTACTGAACAATGTACTAGTCTATATTATACCAGAACTAAATAGTAGAGAAGTTTTTGAAAACTGAAAACAACATATGACAAAATTATATAATATCCCAAGAAAAGCTAATGAAGTACTTCTGTTTAGACAAATTAAGCATACAGGAGCAAAAATGGTACACATCTTCAAAAACACAAGTGGAAATAATAAAGGATTCGCTGTTATTTCATTTAAAAGTAGAGAAGAGTTAGAGCAAATAAGAAGATATAGTATATGATATTATGACACAAGACTTTCCTGAGAAAATGCAGAGGTTAATGCTAATAAAATATTATATAATAGAGCAAGACAAAAGAGAATGAACTTGAAGCAAGAATGGAGAAGCAAGTGGCATGAACAAAGTGATATAAATAAAAAAGAAGATATAGCTAATAGCTACGAAAATAAAAAACAGTATGATAAGAAAGAAAGTATACAGAAAAAAGAAGAAGAAGAAGCTAGCAAGAAGAGAAAAACCAAAAAGAGCAATAGACAGATAAGCAACATGGAAAGCCAAGAAGATAATAATATGTTAATAGTATACGTAGTTCAACTTATTTACGAATTAGATGAAAAAGTAAATAAGTAGAAGCAAAATGCTTCTAATCGCTCCTAAAAGTAGCTAAGGTCCAACTACAGGATGCCTATATAACTTATGAAGAAAAACTTAAGTATACAGAAAGGGCACATAGTATACTAAACCAAAGTGTTAATAGAAAGACAAAGGAGCAAGAAGAAGAGTCAAAGAGAAGTAAAGATAAAGAAATGAAGTATGCATGGAAGAGAAAAATCAAATTTGAAATGTACAATATTAATGGAATAAAAGGAGACATGTTAAAGTTAGAATAGTTAGCAGATTATTGTAACAAAGAACAATTTAACCTAGTAGGTATTATAGAAACAAACATAAGTAAAAAAGAAGACAAATGGTTTAATACAGAGAATGAATCATACAAAAGTTTTTGGACGAATACAGAAGAAGATAAGAATAAAGAATCAGGAATTGGCCTTCTAGTAGACCAGAACTGGCTTCGACATATGGGAGTATGCAAGAAATTTAGTCCTTATCTTTTCAAAGCAGAGTTCTATTTTAAAAAGTTATGATACAGGTGTGGGTTTTGTACATATCACCTAAAAATGAAAAAGTAGCCAAAGAAGTACAAAAGATAATCAAAGAAGAGCTTATCAAAAATAAGAAAAATATGTATAGCATAATAATGAGAGACTTCAATACTGTACTCAATTATGAGCTAGACACTAGTAGCAGAGAAAAATAAGCAAAAGATGCAAATTCAAAAATCATAAAATGGCTAAGCAATTTAGATTATATTGAGTCATTTTGCTTCTGCAACCCAAGTTCTACTAAGTTTTCATAGACAAATGGCAATGTAGCAACATGAATTGATTACATATGGTGCTGTTAAGATTTAAAGCTATTCATTGTAGAAGGGAATATTGACAGTTCAGAAACAATAACAGATAGTGATCATAGTATAGTGTGGATGCAATTAGATAGTACTGACTTATTTGAAAAAAAGCGAATAAGAACTAAGAAAAGCCAAGGAGAAATAAGGAGAATCTATTTATACCATAAGGCAACAAAAGAAGATTGGGAAGCATATAGCCAAAGAGTAGAACGTTTGCTGATAAATGCAAAAAGAAACCAAAGAGAACAACAGCAAAGATTACAGAACATAAAAAGTAAAAGTATTGATGAGAACTAGGAAATTGTAGCTAGAGTGATAACAATAGCTGCAAATGAAAGTATACTATCAACAAAAATACAAAACACAAATTGCTAGATAAGAAAAGAAGCGCCTAAGTCAATATTATATAATAGAGTTAAAGTACTAGGTAAGCTATATAGAAAAGGTATAAAGAACCTAGGAGAAAGTACAGACGAGGTCGAAGAATTATTGTATAATGCATATATTAGACAGTTAAATGATGAGTACGATATACAAATTCCTGAGATAGTAGATAAATAGAATGAAGAATAGTGTAAAGAGATAAAAGATTAGTAGAACATATTAAGAAAAAAAGCTAAAAAAGAAGTAAAAACAGAAAAAGAAAAGAAAATTAGAGAGTATATCAAAAGAAGGTTCACAATAGATATAGCAGAACCAAAAAAAGTACTCAATAGTTTGCTAGAGAGGCATCATAGTAAAATAGTATTAGACAAAGTACTAATCAATAGCGAGAGTAAGTTTGAAAACAAAATATTAATTACAGGGAATAAGGAAGTAAAAGAAGAAGTAGTATGATATTTTCAGAAGCAATTCCAACAAAGAAATTACAAATTTGACAGAATGGAAGAAGAGTAGAAGAAAATTTATGAAGAACAAAACAATATTAAAGAAGAATAGTATAAAGAAGTAATGACTGAAATAACAGAAGAAGAATGGAGAGAAGTAATATACTCATTGCAAAAAGATACAGCACCTGGAATCTCTGGCATTGGCTACAAGCTAATTAAAAATGTGAGCGTAGAAAGTACAAGTCACATGATTGACCTTGCAAATAAGGTTATTGTAGAAGGAGAATTCCTGAAGAAATGGAAACTCGGTCAGATTTACTTAATTCCTAAAGGTAATAACTGGGAACATAATTTGGCATCCACTAATCTAATTATGCTACTAGAGACATTCCGCAAACTAGTAGTCAGAATTGTGTAAAAAAGACTTTGCAGAGTAATAGTACAAAAAAGAATACTCAAAGGTGCTAATTATACAGATCCGCCTGGAGAAAGCACAATGGCGCCAATATATATCTTGAATAATATGATTGAAGATGCTATACAGAAAAACAATGAGCTCTGGATTGCATTTCAGGATATGAAAAAAGCTTTCGATTCAGTAAGCATAACTGCACTCAAGTTTGCAATGAGGAGAATAAGATTTTCTGAGAGCCTATTTAAGTTCATTAAATAGTTATATAAAGATCGCGAAATAAGAATCATTACAAATAATGGACTAATAAGCTTTTTTACAGCAGGTGATGGAATTGATCAGAGTGAAGTAATATCACCTCTAATGTGAAGAATTTTTTATGATCTACTGTTAGTATGCATACAACAAGCAAGACTTGGCTATGAAATGCATCTTAAATAGCTATCAGATATAAGCAAAAATATTATGAGAGATGAGAAAATCGAAGTTGCAGCATTGGCCTATGCAAATGATACTACATGGGTAGCAAACTCAAAAGATTTACTGCAAAGCATTATAAATATCTCAAATGAATTTTTCGAGCTCAATGATATAGAAATTAATGAAGCAAAGTCTGAGCTAATCGTATGGAAGCCAAACAAAAAAGCAAAGATGACAGAAGGAATTTGGATAGGAATGCCTCCTGAGTTCATTGAAGCCAAAAATGCAAAAGAAAGTATAAGGTTTCTTGGGGTTTGGATAAACCTTAAGAGACAAGAAAAGGTAAGCAGAAGCTGATGCAAAAAAGTTGTTAGCTATTTGATAAACATGCTGAGAATGAAAAAATTATCGATTAATCAGATTGTATATATAAACAATATGGTTTTGTTACCAAAATTAGAATATATACTATTAAATATAATAATCGATAAGAAGAAATGTGATGAAATACACCAACTGTTTATAAAATTATTGAAACAGAAAGCAGAGCTACTAATCACATGTGCAAATACGACAGTCTTACATAATAAAATATTCAAAGTTATGAGCTTATGGCAAAAGCACATAGAGCACCATGTATCAGAACTTTTTGTACGAATGAATTCAAGTAGTTTACTAGGAGATACAACAATTATGCGTCTGAAGCAATATCAGTTAGATATAAACTCAGCAGAATATATCTTAACATTAAAAGGCAGTAAATTAAAAAACATAATCAGCAGAAATCATGAAGCTAAAGTTTTACAGATAGCAAAAAAACTTGGCTTCATAGTCTCCAAAAGTATAGATACAGAGAGCTAGCACGTGATTAAGCTATGTGAAAGAAGAGATTTGCTAATACAAAATATACTCTCAAATACAAACCAGGAAAAAAGTATTGGCGAGGCTAGTAGATTAAATATATGGTACTTAAATCAACTACTAGATTCTGAAAAGAAGTACATGATTACATGGAGGCAGCTCAAAATATTAAGAGGAAAAAAACATGTTAGGAAAAAAGCAAAGTAGTTCGCTTTTCTCAAAGCAGAAGTAATTGAGAATATGTTAACAAGAGAAATTAAAGAGAAGTTTGAAAGTGAGTTCAAATTGCAAATAGAGTAAGGAAAAAAGAATATATCAAGTGATAGAAGAAAAAGAGAATGGATACTTCTAGAGGCGGATACTGAAAATCAAAAAGAAATTGGATGAATCACAAAAAAGAGCAAAAAAACAGCAGAAGTAGAACTATAGGAAGAGGATAAAGAAAATAAAAGGTGGCAAGAAAATAGTTATAATGAAGAGTTTAAGATAAAGTTGAAAGAGAAGAGCACAAGATGAATAAAGTTAAAAGAGCTACAAGATATCTCAAACTTAGTAAGAAAGAAAGAAAATACACCTTATATAGTAGCAAATAAGGAAGTTTTGTTAAAGGCAGAGAAATTAAAAAAGATAGTAGCAAAGGACAACATAGTTAATGAACTTAGAAATCAGGAGAGAGTGCAGATTAAAAATAGCTAGGAAGCAGAATTAATAAATCAGCTGATTAAAGATAAAGATATACAGATGGAGTTAAAGGAAAGCCTCATAAAGAATATGGAAAAGAGGAAAATAGTAGTGTATACAGACAGGTCATTACAAAGAGAGGATTT